AAGCACATAAAGCAGGCGTTCAAGGAATTAATTAATATGTTACACAGAAGATGAATACAATGAAAGCTGATATAACAGAAATGAAAAATACAGTGGAGTAAATTAAATGTACAGTGGAGAGCCTCCAAAATAGAATGAAGGAGGCAGAAGAAAGAATCTCAAAATAAGAGGATATTTACTGTCACCAGGGAGAAACAACAAAAATCTGGAAGCAAGGCCAGGTCAAGTTTAAATAGTATACAGAATTGAAAGACACTATTAAAAGGCCAAATATAAGAGTTATGGGGGACCTAGCATGGTAGTCTAAGGCTAAAGTCCTCGCCTTGAACATGCTGGGATCCCATATGGGTGCCAGTTCTAATCATGGCAGCCCCACTTACCATCTAGCTTTCTGCTTGTGGCCTGGGAAAGCAGTCGAGGACAGCCCAAAGCCTTGGGACCCTGTACCCGTGTGGGAGACCTGGGGGAAGTTCCTGGCTCTTGGCTTTGGATTGGCCCAGCACAGGCCGTTGTAGTCACTTGGAGAATGAATCACTGGATAGAAGATCTTCCTCTCTGTCTCTCCTCCTCTCTCTCTCTCTTTCTCTCTCTCTATATATATAGTCTGACTTTGCTATACAAAAAAGCTTTTTAAAAAAAGGAGTAATGGAAGTCCAGAAAGTGCAGAAATAGGTGCATTGAATGAAATAATAAGGGAAAATTTCCCCAGAGAAAGAATTGGAAAACAACTACACAAGGGCACAGAACTTGCAACAGGGTTGACCAAAAGCAATCCTCACCATGACACATGAAAATCAAGCTCTCTTCAATCAAACATAAGGAAAAAATCCTAAGTGTGCATATGAAAAAAATCAACTGACATGTAAAGAATGCCTATTAACCTCACCGGAGACTTCTCACCGGAAACTCTACAAGTCAGAAGGGAATAGAGCAACACATTCCAAATTCTAAAAGGAAATATTGTCAGGCCAGGATAACGTACTCAACAAAACATTACTTTGTCTTTTAAAATGAAATAAAATTCTTCCACAGTAAAGAAAAATTAAAGGAATATGCTTCACCAAACCTGCCATACAGTGGATAATTAAAGATGTTCTCCTGACAGAGAAAAGGATTAGTTCCCACGAAAACCAAAGGCAAAGCAAAGGACATTCCATTAAAATATCTTTTGATTTTTTTTTTTTTAGTTTCACCGTTTCAAAACACTTCTCATTAAATACCTCAGTGACTCATAGATGAAACAGCAGCATGATTTTCATCTGTTCCTTGACATCTCTTCAGCGACACACTAGTCATTCGGTAGCAGGTTATTGAACTTCATGGTGGTGTTAATTTCTTTTTTCTTTCTGTTGTTAATTTTGTATTGTGGCTTTTCATTGAATGGGGATGCATAGAAACTGTGTAATGGAGATTATCCTATCCAGACGTAAGGATACAATGCAGTATGCATCTCTACTCCCACATCAAAGATGGACTCCCAATGAAACTGCTTGCTAGATCTTGACAATAGGATGCTGGACTCTGCCATTGTCCCTGCCTGCAATCATGAACATAGGACTGTATAGGAAGAACTATACTATAGCAATGACTTAGGGGAACTCAGTGAAGGGAGAGGGTGAAAGGGAAATTTTACGGCCTATTGAAGTATTTCATAAACTGATACAATAATGATAGAAATTAGTAAAATTTTAAAAATTCCAGTGTGACACTACTCTGAATTAAAAAAAAAAAAATTACCTCCAAAAACTTCAGCAAACAGAATTTGTTCTGGTTTTAGTAAAACAATATACATAATTAAATATTTGTTTCCTTTTACTTCTAAATTGTAGGGTTGCTGCTTCATTTTCATTTATTTATTTTTAAGATTTATTTTATTTTTATTGCTAGTCAGATATCTAAAGAGGAGGAGAGACAGAGAGGAAGATCTTCGGTCTGATGAGTTACTCCTTAAGTGCCAGCAAATGTCAGAGCTGAGCTGATCTGAAACCAGGATCCAGGAGCTTCTTCCTGGTCTCTCATGTGGTTGCAGGTTCTCAAGGCTTTGGGCTGTCCTTGACTGTTTTCCCAGGCCACAAGCAGGGAGGTGGATGGGGAGCGGGGCTGCTGGGATTAGAACTGTTACCCATATAGGATCCTCGCACATTGAAGGCGAGGACTTGAGCCACTAGGCCACTGTGCCGGGCACTATTTATGTATTTAAATAGTTTGAAATAATTTAACGCTTTTATAGAAATTGCAGAAAGCTATAGTCTCACCTACCCCCCCAATACACCAGATGTCAATGTGATGAATCACTTTACATATATGCAGATGTTTGTTCATGCACACATATTGATACGTATTGTACACATGAGTACTTTTTTTCTTAAAATATTTGTTTTTATTGGAAAGGTAGATTTACAGAGAGGAGACAGAGAAATATCTTCCATGTGTTGGTTCACTTCCCAGGCGGTCACAAACAGCTGGAGATGAACTGATGCGAAGTTAGGAGCCAAGACCTTCTTCTGGGTCTCCAGGCAGGCGCAGGGACCCAAGCACTTGATCTTAGCCCTGGGGACCAGGGGAGGGAAGCCTAAGGCGGCCTCTCTCTCTTGGGTATGGGGTACTTCCTGCTGCCTGAGCTCCCTACCTCGCTGCTCGGCGGAGGACTCTGAATCCCTTGTCAAATGGTTTTTGGGGTCTGGAATGGAAGGAGGGCGAAGAGCTAGGAAGAATCCAAAATGATCACTCAGAAGCCACAATCATTAAAAGCCATCTATTCCCTGTGGATCAGAGTTGCAAATGTTTCAGCTCATTGGTAAAGGAGCTTTTTCGGAGGGACTAATAGGGTCTGGGAGGAGTCATACCGCCAGCCACACTGGCTATTCTCCACTGCCAAGATTTCTAGGGGTAAAACCATGAGTTTTGAGGTCAAGTAGAACAGGTAGGGGGGAAAGGCGACTATCGCTGAAGCACCTTATATTCTAGAAAAATTCCTGGGGTCCAGGCCTAGGCTCAACCTTGTGATGAGGGGTGAAGAGTGGGAGTGGGTTTAGCAGTGGTGCTTCTGGGGGGCCGTCTGGGATCCTGGGGTCCAGGATCGACACCCGCCTTCTCCAGCACCCCAGAAACCAAAGGGTTCCCGATTTCCTCGGCAAGTGTGCAGCCCTCACCCCGATTCCGATTTCAGGGAAACCCGCCCCGCCTTGACATCTCCGGGGCCGGGACCGCAGCTCCGAAATTCCTCCCCAGCCTGGCAGCATCCCGACCCCAACCGTCCCGGAAGATCCGGAATCTTTTCTCCGCCGCGAGGGTTCTGGGAATTGTAGTTCCGACCTGCGGAGCAACGGCGCACTTCCTGGTTCGGCTAGAAGCGCGACCATTGTGCTGCGCCCCGGCAACTCGCCGCCGCGGCCCTTCCTTTGCCGGCCGGGGCAAGTACTTGAAGCCGAGGTGGTGGCGCCGCAGAATCCCGGAAGGGAACTCGGTTCTCCTGAAGAGCCGTGAGGCGGCGACAGGCCCAGCCTGGCTTGCACGCCCGACGACGCCCAGGTGCGGGGACGAGGGAGGCCGGGCGCGCGCATGCGCAGGGCCTAGGCGGGAAGCTGGAAGCGATGGCTTGAGCTGAGTGGGCGACTCAGTTTCCGAGTGGAAATATCGAGGCCGGCGTGTGGTCCGTGGCTTGACCTGCGATCCTGCGTGGGTTGTGCCCTTGGCCTGGGGGCCTGAGGACTCCCACCATGGTGAAAGACGGGACACCTGAGGATGTCCAGGTTAACAGAAGGGTTTGTGCCACCATCCCCGTGGCCTTGAGCAGGTGTCGGGGAGGGAAGCGTGAGGACCCTCTGGCCAGGAGAGACCAGGCTGCAATCGAGGGTCCTGCCCGGGGAGAGGCTGTGCTACTTCAGTAAGCCCCCCAGGTGATAATGAGCGAGGGCTGTCATCTGGCAGGTTGGAGACACCATGGAAAGCGTTGTTTGCACCTGCCCCAGCCTGGACTGGTCAGCCTGGGTCTCAGGTAGGCTGGTGCTGAACCCCCGCATCGTTGCGGGTTGGTGGAGGTGCTGGGTTGGGAAGGCCGAGGCTGCAGCAGCCAGCCGGCTTGGGACCAGGCAGCGTGCTGTATCGCTTGACCTGTTTCTACATCTTGACTTGAGCGGCTCCGATTCTAGGCTGAGGCGAGGGGCAATCTGTGCTTCTGATTGAACCTGAAAGGGGTTAAGGTTGACTGATACCCAGGTGCCCCTGGGGGTGTGGACAGGAGGAGGTGCAAGGGCCCAGGTTCTTGCGTGCTGCAAGTGCCCTTCGATGAGACGTACTGGGATTGTGGCTTCAGGCAGAGGGACAGGGATGGAGGCTTGTGGGTGCCCGAGGCACCCCTGGCAGAGTGAGGTGTGGAGTGAGGGGTACAGATGGTTGTCTCAGGAGTGGGGATTGCGTGAGCCCGCCAGTGTGGGCTCGATGTCCGGGGGTGAGCCTGGGTACCACTGGGCTAGGCCCGTGCTGGAGTGTTGGTGGAGAAAGCAGGAGGCATAACGTCATTACCGAGTCAATTGCCGGGAGTCGGGGACTGGAGCTTGATGGTGGGCCTCCTGCCTTGGGCCGTTACTGGGATTCTGGGCTCTCCGTCCCAGAGCCGTGCTGTTGCCCTTGGGACTGCAGGTGGAGGTGGGCAAGGAGTCCTCACTGGAGAGACCTTCGTGTGCCAGGTGTTTTTGGGGAGAGGGGGTTCCCAGGACCCAGTAGAATTAAAGGAGACACTGAAAGATGTTGCTGATTTGGGTGATGGGCTCTAGGCCGGGCAGGGCGTCTGGGAAGGCCGAGGCCTGGTCTGAGTGGAGGGTGTGGAATTCGTCGTGCTGGCACAGAATTCCACACCTACCATGGGCAATGCATCCAGGGAGCAGAGACCCCTGCAGGGATTGGTGGTACAGGTGGGGGTCGGGGCACGGTGAGGTGTGTGAGGACCTGCGTGAGTGTGCGTTGCTCAGGGCTTGCCTTCTCGACACAGCCCCCGACCCCAGCACCTGCCTTGCCTGGAGGAGAGCATGGAAGAGCAGGAAGAAAAGCCCCTGGAGGCCCCCGTGCAGGTGAGTGGAGCTGCGCTGCCCAGAGCGACCCCAGGTCTGCTGCCACGCAGGGCCGGCAGTCCAGCCCCCGGGGTTGGCCACTGTGGCTGTGTGGTCCATCACGGCCAACAGGCTCCTGGCTCTTGTGTGCTACACATTTTAGGGATCTCTGCTATGGGTCTTGGGTCTTGTCGGAGAGAACTCCACCTGAGAGGAATTTGGGGTCCTGATTGAGAAACCCCCGAGTACTGTTTGGATCTCCCCAGCAGTTCATGGCTTCTTTGGAGAGTGAGCAGTACATGTTTTTGAAATGTGCAGCGGCTCGTGGCTCAGTAGAGGGGACCAGTACACCTGAATGAGCCGAGGTAAGGGAGAGGGCAGCGTTCACTGGCGACATTGCAGCCAGTTGGCTGATGCTTTCTCACTGGGATCAGAGATGCTTACAGTCTGTATTAAGAAAAAAGCATTTGAAAATCACACCTTTTGAAAATGAACATATGGGATCCTGGTTCAGTGACTCAATTGACTCGATTGGCTCATCTTTCCCCTTCAAGCACTAGGACCCCATGTGAGTGCTGGTTCAAGTTCCAGCTGCTCCGCTTCCCTTCCGGCTCCCTGCTTGTGGCCTGGGAAAGCAGCAGAGGACGGCCCAAAGCCTTGGGACCCTGCACCCAAGTGGGAGACTTGGAAGAAGTTCCTGGCTCCTGGCTTCGGATCAGCTCAGCTCTGGCCGTTACAGTCATTTGGGGAGTGAACAGCAGATGGAAGGTCTTTCTCTCTCTCCTTTTCTGTGTATATCTGCATTTCCAATAAAAATAAATTAACCCTCAACAAAAAAAGAACAGAAATGTAGTTTGTATGTTTGTGGGAAATAGGGTAGAAAATATACTAAGCAGTTAGCAACGTTATATGTCATTTTTCAACATTCCTCACCCTTATTTTCACATTTTTGTACAGTGAATTTTTAGGTTAAAAAGCCAGCAATTTCAAACATTTTCCCATAGCAAATGTTCTTTGAAAACATTTAACCACTTAAACTAAATGAGAGCCTTCCCTTCTCCTTCCTCCCTTCCCCTTCCTCACTGATTCTGTCCCAAAGCCGTTAGGTGAGGCGGGGCTTGGCAGGTGCTTGCAAGGAGGGCCACCAGCTGGCAGAGGTGTCCCAGGCTGACCAGGGCGAGGTGGGCATCTCAGTGCCCAAGTTGAAGGAGATAGGTGCCCACCGGACAGTCCCCTGTCACATGCAAGCAGAGCAGGTAGAAGGAATAAGCGACTCGTGTAGGTGGGCAGGCCCACTGGGGATGAGAAGAGGGTCGTGGCGAGGCCGTAGCCTGACCTGGAGATCCATTGGTCAGTGGGTTGAAGAGAGCGTCCATCCTGCGGCTGGGCTGGTTGGGTATCTGCTGGGGGAGAAGATGTGTGAAGGGGCTGCCTGAGCTCAACGGCAGGAGGCACGGGGTGTCTGAGTCATATCAGGGAGATGTGTCCTCATGTTGGGGGTGCAGCCTCGTTTGCTGTGCTACCACATGAGGGTAGCTTCGTGGGGTAACAGAGCCAGGTGGCTGTGGAGGGCATTTGGGGAGGCATGATGTGAGCTGTGCAGGTGCAAGCTGTGCAAGGAGCCAGCACACAGGGCTGCGTGGAGGTACCAGGAAGGAAAGCCACAAGCTGGGGAGGAGGGCCCTTCTGCAGAACCGGCTTCCTGGGGGCGGGAGGAGGGGCTGTGTCTGGGACAGCAGACACTTGCAGGAGGCCTGCTCAGGTCAGCCAGAAGAAGGTTCCCCGCACAGATGTATTGCTCAGTGTTTTCTTGCTGTTGTGAAATACTTGAGGCAGCCCAGCCATGAAAGGAGGTGTTTTATTTAGCTCACTGATTTTTTTTTTTGAAGATTTATTGTTTTATTTTTATTGGAAACTCAGATATACAGAAACAAGGAGAGACAGAGAGGAATATCTTCCGTCTGATGATTCACTCCCCAAGTAAGCACAACGGCTGGTGCTACGCCGATCCGAAGCCAGGAGCCAGGAACTTGTTCCAGGTCTCCCACACGGGTGCAAGGTCCCAAGGCTTTGGGCCATCCTCAACTTCTTTCCTAGACCACAAGCAGGGAGCTGGATGGGAAGTGGACTGCCCGTGGCCTAGCAGCTCACTGATTTTTGAAACCAAAAATCTGATTGGTGCGGCACAGGTTCAGGTGAGGGTCCCTGTGGCTGTGTCACCTTATGGTGGATTGTGATGGCTGCAGCAGGTGTGGGAGGAGCAGTGGGGAGGGATGGTGTCTCCGTGGGGCAGGCCAGAGAGATGGGGTGGGGCCAGGCTCAGGCTCTTCTAACAGTTTTTTTTTTTTTTTTTTGCTTTTGCTTACTTTTTAAGGTTTTTTGTTAAGATTTATTAATTTTTATCAGAAAGATATACAAAAAGGAGGGGAGACAGGAAGATCTTCCGTCTGATGATTCACTCCCTAGGTGGCCGCAACAGGTGACGTTGAGCCTGTCGGAAGCCAGGAGCCAGGAGAAGCCAGAAGCTTCCTCTGGGTCTCACACTTCGGTGCTGCAGGGTCCCAAGGCCTTAGGCTGTCCTAGACTGCCTTCCCAGGCCACAAGAAGGGAGCTGGATGGGAAGTGGGGCCACTGGGATTAGAATTGGAATCCATATGGTAATCAGTTCATGCAAGGCAAGGACTCTAGCTACTAGGCTACTGTGCAGGGCCCAAGATTTATTTTTGTTGGAAAGGCAGATTTACACAGAGAAGGAGAGAGAAAAGTTGTCCATCGCTTATTTACTCTCCAAATGGCCACAAAGGCTGATGCTGAGCTGATTTGAAGCCAGGAGCGTCTTCTGAGTCTCCCACATGGGTGCAGGGTTCCAAGGCTTTGGGTCGTCCTCTACTGCTTTCCCAGGTCACAGGCAGAAAGCTGGATGGGAAGTGGAGCAGCTGGGACACAAGCTGGTGCCCATATGGGATCCCGGCACTTGAACAGGGAGAATTAGTTATTCAAGCCATTGATCCAGGCCCTAACAGTCCTCGTGAGAGGACCTCCCATGGTGCCATGGGGAGGACCTAGAACCCTTGCAGAGGCCCCCTCAGGGTGCGTAAGGACCTCTGCCAGGCTTCCATCAGGCTGCACCCCTCAAGGCTGCATGTGCTCTGAAACCCCCCTTCCCTGGAGCCGTGCTGCCAACATAGGCTCCTCGGCTGGGGGCGGGCACACAGCACCCAAGCCAGGGCACCAGGTGTCTCACCGTCAGATCAGGGGGGTCTGTGGGTGCCCAGGAATGCTAGGATGAGTGCTGGCAGCAGTGGAAGCCGGAGGTGCTAATGTGGGCTCATGTGGATGCGGAAAGGTGTTGAGAGGTGTGTGTGTGAGTCCAGACAGTCCCGTACACCCCTGGGGTGGGCTGTCGGGTGGGCGGTGACGTCCCAGTGCGAGTCCACCCAAGCCCTCGGGTTCGGTGGGTTTCACGGCAGTGGGAGGTGCACGTGCAGTCCTTATGCACATGACACTGCTGTGAGTGGTTTCTCAGGATTCCTCATGTACCTGTGCAGGATTTTGGAGAAAATTAAGTAAATATAAATTTGCATTCGCATCTTTGTCAAAGCCATAGGTACAAGAATGCATTTTAATGTTACTTTTAGTATTCTCCTTTAACCCAGGGAGTTTTCTGTGAATCTGGGTGTTTTCTGTGAATCTTTTTTTTTTTTTAATTTAAATTATTTTTATATGGAAGGCAGATTTACAAAGAGAAGGAGAGACAGAGAGGAAAAGTCTTGCATCTGCTTGTTCATTCCCTAAATGGCTGCAGTGGTGGAGTTGAAGCACCCACGTGGGCATTGACTTTCAGCCTCTGGAGGTGCAGGGTCCGAGAGGGCGTCCTGAGGGTGCCCGGCACGCTGGCACCCTGTGAGGCTTCAGTCTGGCTGCCGGCGGAGGCTCTGGCTACCTGGAGGATCCATGTGGCTGTGGACAGGAAGCCTCAGTTCCACGTAACAGAGGTCCCTCCCGACGTGCTGTCAGTCATTGAGCAGAAAGGGTGGGATGGAGGTAGCAGGGGACAGGAAGTAGGGGACGTCCGTATAGAAAGAGGACTGGAGCCTGAGGGAGCCTGCAACACACAGTTAAGACTGAAGTGACACAACATCGCCCCCTCTGTGTTCTTTGGGCCACACAGATCCTCCCTGGCACCATGTGGGCAAGGTTTACACAAGGGTGCCAGTGCCAGCAGGCAGCAGTCCTTGTAGGCCGCCTGGAGAGTGGTCACCACACACTCCGCTCTGAGAAGAATTTTGCTCATCAGAGGATGTTCAGGTACTTGATTTGAGCTCAGGCAGGAAGAGGGCTCAAGGGCCGAAGGGTTGACTTCCAGAGAAAGCCGTGATACAGTGAGCCAATCCAGGAAGAACCTGTGTGGGTGTTGGAGCCACCCAGGAGGTGTTGTGCCTCAAGCACTTGGAAGCAGCTGGGCCAGGGAAGAAGGTTTTAGTCTCCAGGGGCTGATGTATGCCTGAAGGAGTGGGAGAGCTAAAGGGACCCTCCACCCAGGAGGAGTTCTGAATCAGACAGGGTGGGGACTGGGTTCCTGCCCTGTTGAGCCACTGATGTAGACAATTCAGGGTCTCCTGTGTGTCAGATCCTTTCACTTGAGATGTGGGCTCTGTCTCCCATCTGCGTGGGCTCCACAGTGGGAGGCCTGTGCATGGGAACCTCCCCGACACATGGGATCACTGTTGGCATGCTTTGTATGCAAAGCTCTGAGAATGAAGTTTGGGGCTGCCTCCCTAGTGTGGTTGGGAAATTTGTCTCCTCCGGTCATTCAGTTCTGATGACAACACATAGAGAGCTCAGGTGGGCCGTGTCAGACTGGTCCACAGCACCCAACCAGCACATATGAGATCCAGGAGGGGAAACAGCAAAGCCAGTAGAGGGATGTAGAGGGCTGCCCTGCTGAATCACCACTCGCACTGGAGAGCGTGAGTTGGGATGGGGGCAGACCAGACCAGGCAGGGCTACAACACCTGTAGGCCTCATGTGAGCTGGACCAGGGAAAAGCCAGGCTGGATTGACTGTTCCTACTGGTGCAAGCATAAGTCAGAGTGAGTGTGGGTTGGTAGGGCTCTGCCAGAGCATCAGCTAGCAGATGCTAGGAGGGGGGGAGCAAATTCTTTCAAGTCAGCCTGCAGAACCACCTGGAGAGTGTATGATCCGGGAGTGGGCCCAGTACAGAAATAGCGAGCACCTCCCTCCTGGGTTGCCACTCCGTCTGGTGAGCATGAGAATCAGGACAGGGGCTAGACAGAGAGTGGTGCTTGTTGGCAGGTGTGTGCACTGACATGCATGTGAGCTAAATGGGATGTGGGACAGACTGAACCAGTCTGCTGTACATACTGGCAAGCACAGAAACCAGGGTAGGGGTTGGGACTGGTGGGAGTTATTGTGGGTCACTCCGACTAGGATGCAGCTCCCACTGGGTAGCATGAGGCATGAGGGCCAAGTGGGTGTTGGGCAGGATCAGGCTAGTCTGTAACATCCATTGGTTTGTGTAGAAGACAGGGGTGGAAACAGAACTGACCCAGAAATTGCAACCACCAGCATATGCATAAGCTGATTGAGGCGATGAACTGAGCCGGACCCTGTACTGGCAAGCACACAGAAGAATTTGGCCTGGGATCACCTCAGACGAGTTTCTTTGGGGATTCCCCAACCAAGCTGCTAAACTCAGAACCTCAACCATTAAGAGAAGTGCAGGTTCCATGATCTGACCATGGAGTGCATGTGTCAAAGCTGAGCTGCCTCAGAGGCTTAGATGGAGCAGTGGACAGCATATCCTGGTGCACATGGAGGATGTGGCAGTACATCGGAGCCTGCAGAGAACACCTGGTACCACAGCAGAGGATGGAGGACAGAAGAAATTGATCAGCTACTCCAGCAACATATTGGTAGTCACAATCTGGGCAAACGGAGACTAAGGTGGACTGTGTCAGCCAGTGGATTCTGGAGAGATTTCATTGTGCTTGGAATGGCGAGATTGGCAGCAATTCAGAACTGTTGAACTGTTAAAACCACTTGAACAGTGCCCTCAGAGCATGCCCCACATCGGGGACCCTGGAATGGTTGAGACGCTGGGTGTGGCTTCTCCTTGCGCGGGGAGGAGAACAAAACACTCCAATTTAAAAAGACTTACTTGAAAGAGTTTAAATGGGCCTAATGCTTGACTCGGTTAATCCTCCTTTAGCAAAAGCTGAGTTCCCATATGAGTGTCGGTTCATATCCTGGCTGTTGCACTTCCCATCCACTTTCCTGCTTGGGATGGACAAACAGTGGAGGATGGCCCAAGCCTTGGGACCCTGCTGCCACATGAGAAACTTGGAGAAGGCTCCTGGCCAGATATATTTGAGACATGAATGAATTTTGAGTTTAGACGAGTCCCAAGCCCCAAGATTTATCGTCGTTATATATGCAAACATTCTAAAATCTAAAAGCATCTTAAATCTAAACACGCGTATTCGTTGGCATTGTTGATTAGGGCCAGCGGATCCTAATTGATGGCGTCTTTGTTGACAGGACTTTTTGCTTGGATCTGTTATGAAGTTAGCTTGTAGATTTATGAGTCTGGCTTTGGTCACACTGCATTCTATTTTATTTGCTTATTTTTTTAAAAAAAGGTTTATTTTTGTTGTCAAGTCCGATTTACAGAGAGGAGAAACAGAAAGCTCTTCCCTACGCTGGCTCACTCCCTAAGTGGCCACAATGGCTTGAGCTGAGCTGATCCAAAGCCAGGAGCCAGGAGATTCCTCTGGGTTTCCAATGCAGATGCAGAGTCCCAAGGCTTTGGGGCATCCTCTATTGCTTTGCCAGGCCTAAGGCTGAAGCTGGATGTGAAATGGAGTGGCAGGGATATGAACTGGTGCCCATATGGGATCCCAGCACATGCAAGGTGAGGATTTAGTCACTAGGCTATCATGCCAGACCCTTATTTGGTTATAATTCTGTGATTTCGGAATTTAGACGCAACTAGCCTAGACAGTCAATTTTTTTTTTTTTTTTAATTTCTTTAATGCTGAGTTTTGTTTTTATTTTTATTGGAATGCAGATATACAGAGAGGAGAGACAGAGAGGAAAATCTTCCATCCGATGATTCACTCCCCAAGTGAGCCCAACGGCCAATGCTATGCCTGTCTGAAGCCAGGAGCCTCTTCAGGGTCACCCGCACAGGTGCAGGGTCCCAAAGCCTTGGGCCGTCCTCAACTGCTTTCCCGGGCCACAGGCAGGGAGCTGGATGGGAAGCGGGGCTGCTGGGATTAGAACCAGCGCCCATATGGTATCCCAGGCATGCAAGGCAAGGACCTTAACCACTTGTGCCACCGCGCTGGGCCCAATGCTGAGTTTTTAAGGCTTGAGGTGGGGTCTGAGGTTCAACTTTTCTTTTCTTTTCTTCTCTTCTTTTCTTTTCTTTTCTTTTCTTTTCTTTTCTTTTCTTTTCTTTTCTTTTCTTTTCTTTTCTTTTCTTTTCTTTTCTTTTCTTTCTTTTCTCTTCTCTTCTCTCCTCTCCTCTCCTCTCTTTTCTTTTTTCTTTTTTCTTTTCTTTCGATTTCTTTTTTTAAGAGTTAAGTTATAGCCAGTGAGGAATACACAAACACACACACACACACTGAGCAAGCGCCAGTAATTGAGAGAGCTTCTGTTGGTTTACTCTCTAAATGGTTGGAACTGGGTCTGCTGAAGGCAAGAGCTTCTTTCTGGGCTCCTACACAGGTGCAGGGCCCTAGCACTTGGGCTGTCCTCCACTGCTTTCCCAGGCTGGTAGCAAGAAGCTGAATGAGAAACAGAGCAGCTGGGACGCAAACTGGCACCCGTATGGGAAGCTGGTGCCACAGGCAGCTTACCTTCCATGCCGCTACAGCGCCCCCTAGACAGTTCTTCTGTTCTGCATGGTATCTAGGATGGTTTCTTCATCTGGTGGCTGGGCTGGCCCTGGAGGTCCACCATGGAGCGGGCTGCTCCAGCAGGTATAAGGTAGCCGTTGCTGGGTAGTCAGAAAGGATCATTCAAGGATAGTGACCGCTGACTTACAAGTAGATTCATGGAGACCGTCAGGCTCATGTCTGCAGCTTCCGTCCTCCTCAGCAGTAGGAGAGAACAGAATTGGTGGGTAGGATCTGTGAGAACACGGGTGATATCAGATCCCAGCCTGCTCCCATGGGCTTAGCCGTGAGATGTGACTTAGCTCGCTGATTGCTCTCTCTTGTCCGTTTGCCTTCTTAGGACCCTCTGCTTCCTCAGGAAGTTCCCATCAAAGCTGAGGAAGAAGATGCCGGGTCACTGGCCGTCACTTCTCAGGTGAGTTGGGCAGTCTCCTCACTGAGAAGTGTGGCTTTCCGGTGGGTGGTGAGCAAGCTGGGACAGGAGTGAAAAGCAAGAAGATGGGGATGAGGAGACAGCTTTGCCAACGGATTGGTCATCATGTGAAAAATTGAAGAGAGTGAGGCTGCAAGAAAATTTGAGATTGAGGGTCTTTTATTTAAGAGGATTGGAAAATCTTGACTTTTTAAGTGACTGTAGGAAGGTTTTAGTAGAGAAAAAGAAGTCAGCCATAAAGTATAAAGCAGGGCCAAACTCACTGGCTTGGTTGGCTAATCCTCCCCCACTCAGGGGTCTTGAGAACAGACCCTGTCGTGCTTACAGGAGGCAGCCTGAGACATTCTGTTTACGTGGTGGTCATGACAGTGAGTGTCTGCTCAGAGTCCAAGAGTGGACAGAAGTAGAACTGTGCAGGATGGAGGTCATATTAGCTGTCATTATTCATTTAGCATTCTCAGACGTAGTAACTGCTAGCCCTTGTTGTGTGTTTAGTAAACTGCTAGCGTCAGGTCATATATTATCACAATTAATTTATCAAACCAGTGAGATGATGATTATGGTTAAGCCTAAATAGCAGAAATGGAATAAACTCACTATTACAAGATGGGTTATCAGATGACATCTATTTGTTTAATAATCCAAATGCATGCCCTGTGTAAGAGGTCAGAGAACTCACATCTCCTTTTCTTCTTAATCCGGTGCTTTTGATCTGTAAGCACTGCCTTATGCTGGGGCTCATACTTCGTCATCTGTGTGGGCCGGATCATCTCACAGTCTGCTTCTGTGAGTTTTTATTGCACTACCACCACCCTCATTTGTGTATCTACCTTCCTGCTTTTTTTTGCTACAGCAGCAGAGTTGAGTCATTGCGATTAAAAACTGTGTTGCCTGCGAGCCTTGAGATACTTATCATCTGACCTTTGGCAGAAAATTCTTACCCATTCTTATTCCTCCAATTTCTTCAAAATCAAAAAGAATAAGCATTTTCTTTAAATTGGACAAAAAGAAAAGAAAAAGAACACCTGTACCAGTTTTTACCTGGCGTTCCACCGTGGGGTTTGAAGAGGTGTGGTTTCTAAGCCTTGGGGACTTAACTGGAAGACTTCTATGTGAGTTGACTGGGGTCCTTCAGACACCACGAGTTAGAGGCAAGCTCCCAGTCATTTTTCAAAGGCAAATGCTGGAAGAAATGCTGCCCCTCTGAGTAGGGATGTGTGTTTTGTTGCAGCAGGGACCAAGCTTCAAAGTTATGACGGTAGACTTCACTCAGGAGCAGCCTGGCCCTTGGAGGCCTGTGCAAGAGACAGCAAACAGAGAGACCGTCCTGGACAAGCACAAGGACCTGGTCTCTTTGGGTAAGAACACCGTCCCTCCCAGTGAAGGGCCTTCTGCTGAAATGATGCATGCCCATGTGTTGTGTAACTACCACAGGATTCAGCAGCCATAATGATTTGGATCACACATGGATTGTGTTGGTGCTTTTATTCCCCAGTGAATATCTTCAGAGCAGGAGAAAAGAAGTTCGGTTTCTTTGGCTTGAATTTGTTTAATCTTCATTCCTAAAGGGCCAAAGCCTGGAATGATATTCTACAGTGATTTTCAATGTCTAGTGCTAAAGAGGGTGGAAGGGACCTTCTGTTTGTTTAAAATGGGTTGCAGTACTGGGTTGAGTTTGGGGGTTCTGCATAAGTGATTTTTTTTTAAGATTTATTTTTATTATTTATTTATTGGAAAGGCGGATATACAGAGAGGAGAGACAGAGAGGAAGATCTTCCGTCCGATAATTCACTCCCCAACTGAGCGCAACGACCGATGCTATGCCGATCCAAAGCCAGGAGCCTCTTCTGGGTCTCCCACGCGGGTGCAGGGTCACAAAGCCTTGGGTCTCCCACGTGGGTGCAGGGTCCCAAAGCTTTGAGCCGTCCTCGACTGCTTTCCTAGGCCACAGGCGGGGAGCTGGAAGGGAAGCAGGGCTGCTGGGATAGAACCAGCGCCCATATGAGATCCCGGGTGTGCAAGGTGAGGACCTTAACCACTGCACCACCGCGCCGGGCCCCATAAGTGATTTTTTTTTTTAATTTGCAGGTGCTTTGCACTCAAAGTCATATTTATTCAACTAAGATTATTGTTAAAATAGTTCCATGTTAATGCTCTGTGATACTGATGTGCTGTGATAGTTCGGTGCTTACTTACTGCTTCGGCCCATTCTTTTGCTTTCTCAATACAGATTATAGGTGTATATAGGTAGAAGAAAGTGAACTCACATGTTCTTCCCATACTTTGAGTCATCCCACTGTGTCCACTCTAATGTCTTTTTTGGGGGCTAGGGTGTGTTCCTTTGCTGTTTTCCAGATTTGACAATTGTACTTGGAAGAAGAGACTGCATTTCAAAGCAGAGCCTGCCAGATGAAGTGAAGACAAAAAGGTTGATGCGGGATGATCCTTGGGTGCCTACAGGTGAAGAAGTCTGTGACTATAAGGACCAGCGGCAGAAGCAAAAGGAGAAGCAAGCGAGGCGTTTGCAGGAAGTGGCAATCACTCAAAGGAAAGCTGTTATTCACACCGCAGTCTGCCAAGGTGGGAAGCTTGAGGAGGGTGGGCTGGAGCCCAGTCCGCCATCACTCCCACTGATACCTGTAAGAAGCCATTTTCATAAACATGTATCAAATGATAAAAAATTACCTCAGAATGTTGCAGTAAACAGTTATCAGAAGACACATAACCACGGGCAGCTATGTGAGAAGAGTGAGTGTGGAAAGCTTCCTGAGAGCATTCACCTCATTCAAGTTACAAGAACTCAAACAGTAGATACACCATATGGCTTTAGCAGCATCATTCCATCCCCTAGCCACCCTATACCTCCAAACAGGCATGGACAAATTCATGGGACAGGAGAAACCTTAAGTTTGAAGGCATGTGGGCAAGTTTTGAACCAGAGCATGTCAAAGGAGCAGCTGGGGCTTCCTGGTGATGAGAGTCAGCACACATGCAGTGAAATCTCTCAGAGTTCATCTCTGGCTCCAAATGTGAAAAATCATTCAGAAGAGAAACCATTTGAGTGTCATCACTGTGGTAAGTCCTTCAGCTGGAGCTCGCATCTCATTGCACATCAGAGGATTCACACAGGAGAGAAGCCTTATGAGTGCAGCCAGTGTGGGAAATCCTTCAGCCGCAGCTCACACCTTGTTTCACATCAGAGAACTCACACTGGAGAGAAACCCTACAGATGTAACCAGTGTGGGAAGTCCTTCAGCCAGAGCTACGTCCTTGTTGTGCACCAGAGGACTCACACAGGAGAGAAACCTTATGAGTGCAGCCAGTGTGGGAAATCCTTCCGGCAGAGCTACAAGCTGATAGCTCACAAAAGAACTCACACTGGGGAGAAGCCCTATGAGTGCAACCAATGTGGCAAATCCTTCATCCAGAGCTACAAGCTGATAGCACACCAGAGAATTCACACTGGGGAGAAGCCCTATGAGTGCAACCAATGTGGCAAATGCTTTAGTCAGAGCTACAAGCTGGTTGCTCACCAGAGAACTCACTCAGGAGAAAAGCCCTTTGAGTGTAATCAGTGTGGCAAGTCTTTCAGTTGGAGCTCCCAGCTGGTGGCCCATCAAAGAACACACACTGGAGAGAAGCCCTACGAGTGTAGTGAGTGTGGGAAGTCTTTCAACCGCAGCTCTCACCTCATTATGCACCAGAGAACTCATACTGGAGAAAAACCTTATGAATGTAATCAATGTGGGAAGTGCTTCAGTCAGAGTTACGTTCTTGTTGTACATCAGCGAACTCACACTGGAGAAAAACCCTATGAGTGCAACCAGTGTGGCAAATCCTTCAGGCAGAGTTCATGTCTTACCCAACATCAGAGAACTCATACTGGTGAAAAGCCCTACGAGTGTGGTCAGTGTGGAAAAACATTCAGCTTGAGTGCTCGACTGATTGTCCATCAAAGAACTCACACAGGAGAGAAACCATTTACTTGCAGCCGGTGTGGGAAAGCTTTCATGAACAGCTCTAAACTTATTAGGCATCAGGCCACTCACTCAGAAGAGAAACCCTACGACTGTGATTAGTTGGGATATTGTCAGCCAGAGTTGATTCCTTTCTCTTGTATTCTTTTTCAACATTATTTTAAGGGAGTGCATTTAGTGGAAAAATGGGATAAAAGCAAGGTATGGAAAAATGTGCATTTGTCACTTTACTGGATATGTTGAAACTTGTTCTGAAGAATTGGGGAAAGCCTGCCAAATAAATATATTCCCCATACAGTCAGAATGGGTCCCCATGACACATTCGTACAAGAGTACTAAATATTGGCACTTTTCTTTGCAGAAAAAGCTCAGATCTGTTTTTGAGACAAAATCATTATGTTGTGGAGTAATGCCTGTGAGTTCGACTCCCAATACCCAATAAAATGCCAACAATAGTTGACTTCCAGAGATTATTGAAAGATTTCTGGGGAATGATAACTCAGTGTAGCATTTTACATGATAGGCCCACTAATTAGTTTGTAATGTGATTCATACAGCACTTTCTTATGTGAAGTTTTTCTTTTTTCTTTTTTTTTTTTTAAGATTTATTTTTATTTTAATTGGAAAGGCGGATATACAGAGAGGAGGAGAGACAGAGAGGAATATCTTCAGTCCGATGATTCACTCCCCAAGTGAGCACAACAGCTGATGCTATGCTGATCCAAAGCCAGGAGCCTCTTCCAGGTCTCCCACGTGGGTGCAGGGTCCCAAAGCTTTGGGCTGTCCTGGACTGCTTTCCCGGGCCACAAGCAGGGAGCTGGATGGGAAGTGGGGCTGCTGGGGTTAGAACCGGAACCCAAATGGGATCCCGGGCGTGTAAGGCGAGGACCTTAACCACTTGCACCACCGCTGCGCCAGGCCTGTGAAGTTTTTCTTAAAAAAAAAAAAAAAAGACTGCTGTAATATGAACTACACAAAAACAAATATCTATAATATTAATATGAAAATATTTCTTGAAAATAACTGGAAGGAATTATAGCTGTATCTTTTTGTTTTATGTCATGTCTTGTTTTTGGAATATATATATGTATGTCCTCTGCTAAAATAAATGCTGTGTTAAAAAAAAATTTGTAAAGAATATGCTAATCTTGTTAGAGGACTTAGGAAACACCGAGTCACAGTATAGCAAAGACCTAATTTGGACCAGCAGTGTGAGCAGCTCATTCTTGAGGACTGGTATTCCAAGGGGTGCAGGAAATGTCCGACTGAGTGACAGAAGAGGAATTGGGCAGTTAGAGCAGAGCAACTGGGCAGAGTGTGTGGGGTCATTTCAAGGTACATAGTGCAAATCCTTGAAAGAAAAGTTCACAGGGTCACCAAGGAAATTCATTACTGCTACGTTAGAAGGACCCAGCGTAAGAAGTAACACGAAGTAACACACAGTAAGGCCGCATTTTGTAGTGCAGTGGCTAGTCTTTTTTTATATATAAGGTTGAAGGGCTACAGGAAAGTGGATAAGAGTATTTCCACATTTTTTTCCTGTATCTCTGGAAAACGGGGAGGTAAAGGGAGAAGCACCACCCAGTCTCCCACCCATCCTTGATGTCTCCCACCCAGGTCCATCCCTGATGTCTCCCACCCAGGTCCATCCCTGATGTGGTGCATGCTCCGAGGGTCTTGCTCAAGTGGTTTTGATAGTTTGACAGCTCTGAATTGCTGCCTATGTCACCATTCCAATCAGGATGAGGTCATTGAAGAATCCACTGATTGTCATAGTCCATCAGAGTCTCTGTTTGCCCAGTTCTTCTCGCCAGCATGTGGCTGGGGTACTTGATTGATTTGTCCTGTTCTCTGTCTTTTCATGGATAAGTTCTGAGTCTGGCAGCTCAAATTGGGAGATCCCCAAAGAAACTTTGAAGTGTCCTAGACCAGATTTTTGTGTGTGTTTGACAAGTACAGGGCCCAATACAGTCCATCACACCAGTCAGCTGGTGGTTGCAGTTGCTGGGTCAGTTCTGTTTCCAGCCCTTTCTTCCACTGCAACCAATGGGTGTTGCAGTCCAGCATGATTCTGCCCAGCACACACTTGGCCATTAGGCCAACAGCTATTCCCTCCCTCCCAGGATGCCCAGGGCACATTGCCCACCTGCCAGGCCCAGCAGCTGCGCCCCTGTACACCTCACCATGAACTTGCTTTCCCATGTCTGCTGCCTCTTTTCCTAGAATCCTGGAAGACTGGGCCGTGGCCATGCCTCACCTCTCCTCCCCGAGACTTGCCACCCATGCCTTTCTGCCAGAGTCAGCCCCCACACCTGACCTGTTGATGACCCTGTGCGTGTGCCCTGCAGAGGCACGGCTCCCCCGCATGCCCCTGCACTCAGGCCCTCTTCTGCCTCTCTGGGTGCACTGCAGGGCCTGCCCTTTCACCTTGTACCCGCTTCCTTTCTGGCTGCGCAACACCCCAGTGCCAGGCTCCCCTGCAGCACATGACTTCTTGGCATGCGTCCTCACCCTCTCTGGGGACTCACCAACAGGTCCCAGCTGCTCTCATGCACGATGCTCCTCGCCCCTAACCACTGCCCCGTCACCTGTAGCCTTGAGTCTCTCTGTCATCTCATCGGGCTCCTTCCACAAGGACACCACACTGTCGGCTGAGTCAGCCCTCCTGACTCAGGGAACATCCCCTGGTTCCGGAAATTCACCTTGTTCCTCTCCGCAGTTGGCCTTGCCCCCTTTGCCTGGTGCTGACACAGGCTGGTCCTGGGGGCTGGGATGGTGTGGGGGTCTGCAGCACAAGCTCTCTTCTTCACCACGATCATCCTGTCCCCACTCAGCAGGTTTCTTCCATTCACACGATGGCTCTTAGCTTTCTCACTTGGGTCAAGGCCAGGAGCTAGACCAAGATCTTCAACAGCCGTGGCACTAACAATACACTTGTTCAGCTACACCAAGAGCTGAGTGTGGACTCCACGTGGTGTTTGGAAAGCACCTGTAGGCTTTGAGAGCCACTCGTAGTGTTTTGGCCTCTGGCCCTCTCTCATCAAGAGGGCATTTGGGTGATCACCAGAGAACAAGGTCTCCAGACCTTTCCCCTCTGGGACCCTTGTCTCGGTGAAGGTCGAGATTCTCCAAACTTACCAATGGGCACCGTGTGGCATCTGGGCAGTACCTGTGATGCACTTTCTATACTCCATCTTAGCTTGTCCGAAACCATGCCCCTAATGTATTACCTATTACCTTTTAGGAAAATAACATCTCTTCATTTATAATATGAAATGAATTTCACACCTTAGAAGTAATTTTGTTTTTAGTATTCATTTATTTCACAATGTTTTTTTTATTATAAAGACAATTCTATAGAAAAAGAATGATACGAAGATCCTTCATCCTCTTGTCCCCCGAGGTGTCTTCAATGGCTTGTGTTGTTCCAATCTGAGCCTGGATTCTGCTTTGGGTCTCACTGGTGTATGCGTTGTTCCAAGGGTTTGGGTCATCCTTTGCTGCTCTCCCATGTTATAAGGTGGGAGCAGCCAAGCCCTTTATAACAACTCCCACAGGCATGCCACTGTTGGAGGTGGATGATTAACCAATTGGGCCAGTGTACCAGTCCGACCTCGTCATCTTTTACACACCTGCCTTGGGCATCTCTTCCTTTGTGATTTTGTCAGCATTTTCTCTCCCATAGGATCGACCTCCAACTGTTGTTAGGGATACAGATTGGTTACCGCTGTGGGTGCTCATCATGACAGGGGAATTCTTTTTTGGGGGACAACAGTAAGGCATCGTTCCGATACCTGTGGCAGAGTGTGGATTGGTTCCAGTTTGATCCAATCATTTCAGAATTTCATGGACTCTCAAAGCTGGAAGCCTCAAGGACAGAACTCAGTTTTTGGAATGGCTAAATTCAGCAGATGTGACAGAAACACATAGTGTTTTCTGAGATGCATAAAACTTGACCTTTGTCAGTACAAAACAGAAAAACCTGACTGTGTTGTCGTAAGAGAGCTCATCCTGCAGAAGCATCAGGATCAGGCAATCTTGTCTCCAGGCTGCGGGCCTTGGACCAGTGGCCCTCTCCCCACCACATCGCCACTGCTAGTACCTGTGCTATTCACCAGGACTTGTTCTGCCAGCCTCGGTCCTCATCGGAATGTTCCTGGCAGCACCACCCTTCGGGGATCTGTACTTCCATATAATCCTGACTGGCAATAGGCACAAACAGAAAAAGGTACAAGTCAAGGCCAATAACAGATAGCAAACCAAATTTGCATCTCAGAACAATGAACAGGCTTCATGGAAGATCGATTTACTTTACTGTATTCAGGCGCAGAATGTTTCTCAGTTCAAAGGGATAATCTTTTTATTCAAGTTACCAGCATGGCGTGCAGGATGTCAGGAACCCACCCTGTATGTGCCTTACTCCAAATGTGTGGGAAGGATGGCATGTTCCTCCAGCCCAATACTCGGGTGCCTACCTTGCCCTCTAAGAGACCCAGGATAGCTGGCAGGAGCGTGCGCTTCTCGATTGCCAACGCTAGGTGGCGTGCCTCCAACCCAGGCCCAGCAGAGGAAGCAGTGTAGCGCCCCAAGATGTCAGGGGTGTGAGAAAGAAAGTAATGTTTATTTGAACCATGTGGCATCAGCCAGGGTCACCCCCAAAAGACTGAGCCCTCAATGTCCGTTAGCGGTTTCTGCATGGGGAGCACTCAAGCAGGGAGGTACAGAGGCCATGACTCAGCAGTTAGGCTGCGGCCGTCAAAGCATGGGGCAGTCACTGCACTGGCCCTCTGTGTAGTCGACATTTTCCCACATATCTTTCTCAGTTCGCATGCAAGTATTTTGATCTTGGAATGTTTGTATATTGCGTTGTTTTTTAATTTGCATATATCATTTTTTAAAAAGATTTATTCATTTTTATTATAAAGTCAGATATACAGAGAGGAGGAGAGACAGAGAGGAAGATCTTCCGTCCGATGATTCACTCCCCAAGTGAGCGCAATGGCCGGTACTGCGCCGATCTGAAGCAGGGAACCAGGAGCCTCCTCCAGGTCTCCCCTGGGGGTGCAGGGTCCCAAGGCTTTGGGCCGTCCTCGACTGCCTTCCCAGGCCACAAGCAGGGAGCTGGATGGGAAGGGGGGCCGCAGGAATTAGAACCGGCGCCCATATGGGATCCCGGGACATTCAAGGCGAGGACTTTAGCTGCTAGGCCACACTGCTGGGCACATATCAATTTTTAACACTTTTTTTTTAGTGTGGGCTGAGTCCAATGTTTATCTGTAAACTTGTATGATTCACCTCCAATGTTTAGAAGTGCTTTGTGTGTGTGTACTGTGACTCCTTTGGATTTTCTGTTGAGAAAATCACATCTTATGTGCTTAGAGGACTTTAATTCTTCCTTTCTACCTTGTAAACTTTAAAAAAAAAAATCTTTTTCCATTCAAAGGCCATCAGTTCCAGCTGAATGCTGATTAAAAATGGTGAGAGAATAGACCTAGCATGATGGTTCACTGGCTAATCCTCCCCTTGTAACATTGGATTCCATAGGGCTGCCTTTTTGTGTCCCAGCTTCTCCACTTCCCGTCCCGCTCCCTGCCTGTGGCCTGGGAAAGCAGTCGAGGACGGCCCAAAGCCTTGGGACCTGCACCTGTGTGGGAGACCTGGAAGAAACCGCCTGGCTCCTGTTTTCAGATTGGCTCAGCTCCGGCTGAAGAGGTTGTTTAGAGAGTGAATCAGTAGATAAAAGATCTTTCTGTCTCTCCTTCTTAGTGTAATCATAAAAAATGATATAAAAAGGCTTCCTTAAATCTCATCAGCCTTCAAATGGAAACTAAATATGAAAACTTTTCTGTGTTGATAATTCTTTTGGGAACTTGTACTATTGAGCAACAAAATTTTGGTATACTAAAGGCTACAATATGGCATTTAATGACTGAATAAATGGTGAGATATTACCATGTACGCAGATTAGGAGGTCTGATGTGGTTAAGATGCTGGCTTTTCCAAACTGTAAACCCAGATGAGCTGCTAGTTCACGGCTTTGGTCTGGCCTAGCCCCAGCTGCCGCAGACATCAAAGATTCTTTTCGAAATTTTTCATTTCAAGTAAGTTTTCTTTAAAATGCTGTGGGGGCTGGGCCGGGTGCATGGGTGCTGAGGGGGCTGGGCCGGGTGCATGGGTGCTGAGGGGGCTGGGCCGGGTGCATGGGTGCTGAGGGGGCTGGGCCGGGTGCATGGGTGCTGAGGGGGCCGGGCCAGTTGCATGGGTGCTGAGGGGGCTGGGCCAGTTGCATGGGTGCTGAGGGGGCTGTTTGAGAGAAGCCGAAAGGAGAACAAGGGAACCAGAAGAGAAG